TATTTAAAATCCATTTCTACATATAATGTGACATTTATTCAAAATAAATTGTATGAAAAACAAACAAATCTGTTAGAGGGATCTAATAAAATAAAACGGCGTGTTGCCGAAGTGTGAACACACTCAGGCTAATGAAATATTGAAACTCATTCTGGTTCAGTCCAGAATTATTTTTTATGCTTTTTTTTAACCAACATCTGCCTTGAACTACTTTTAATCTGAGAAACCAAACCATCCAAATAACAAAAACTTTTTGCAAGGTTTTGTACTTCCATTTGGGTTTTTACTTATTCTAAAATGAAGAAAACTGAACACCCTAAAAAATATCACCCAAATATTTTCAAGGCAAGACCCGAGGAGACTAAGTTAAACTTTTCTTGACTTTTAAAAATCACTAAGTACACAGCGAAATGCATTCAAGAGCTACAGAAGTGAATTTCTGCATAATCTGCATCTGCATGATTTAAACTGAAGTGGCCGGTCCAAAATCAAGAAGTAAATTATACTAAAAAAGTGGGAAGCCCGGTGGAGGTGGGCGGACAGGAGTTACCTTAACAAGGCAGAATATATTTCCAAATCAAGAGGTGGTGTAGTTATTTAGTAGCAATGAAAATTGGATGCTAAATTTGAAGCAGAGGTGATTTTCCATTATGTTAGTTTCAGTCTGAGCACAGTTACTGTTTGGCTGTTGCATCTTTTTTTTTGTTTCTAACAGATTTATTTGTTTATCTGTGGGAAAATACATTATATTTTTCATTTATTCCCTCATGGTCTTATATTTCTACATCATAAAAATCTGGCATTTTAACAGAGGTTGTTACACAACTGAGAGCCACTTAACCCTTGTTAAGTACAAACAGGATCATGTTTGAAAGCGGATATTTGAACATGTTTGTTGTAGTTGAACTAAATCTACTGGTGACCATCACAAGCCGACATTAAAAAACTGCATTGTTTTTTTAGTGGTTTGTAAAATAGACTTGCTGCAGACAAACATAGCTGACAGAAAGGAATAGTTGAGTGTCAAAGAAGACAATTTGTCTATCTGCTGTTGGGGAAAACTGCTATTGATCTATCATCCACAACAAATGCCTTTTCACTTCAAATAGCGAGAGTCAGTGAAAACAGATTTCTGCGTGTGTGAGGTGAAATAAAAAATGTGTTTTTGACAGTTTGGCTGATTAAGGTGCGAGCAGTGAAGAGGAGGAGAAGGAAGGGAGTACGGGGGAGGGATAAAAAAGCTGAAAACTGAACAGGAGATAAAATGATTTATGGGAGATCTGAGAGGAGAGATAAATGGCAGCCAAAATATGAGATTGCAAGAAAAGGAGCTGGAGAAAAAAAATAAAGCAGGTGATTAGTGTGGAAAGAGGGAGGAAGGGATGGAGATGAAGGCGGCGTGATATCTTCAGACGTGCCTGTCTTCCCCTGCAGTTCCAAACGTCTCTGCTTTCAGCCACACGTGTGCAGATGCCAGCAGATAAAGGGCATTCAGCGAAGTGATGTGCAGTAATTCCAGTTTGTGTTGTGCAGCACAAATGCACTCTGAGAACTGATGACTGTATGTAAATGGCGCTGGAAAGGATTTGGTGTCTGTGTATCAAGTTGTCATAAAGTGAGACAAAGCCCTATCAGCGTTAAACATCTGCTACATCTTCAGCTGCCTTTTCATCATCTCTCTTTTTTCTCTTACTTTCCTTCACTCATCTCTACAGTTGTTTGTTTTTTTTTTTACTCCGTCTCTTAACTTAGCAGAGGTTTAAGTACTGGCAAACATTGTTCAACAGAGAAAAGTGTAAGAAATCTAAACTCCTTTTCTTTGATAAAGACCATAAATCTAAAAAAAAAACAAAAAAACAACAAAAATTTCTCCAAAATGAAAGCAGCTGGAAGTTTATCCATAAATAAAGATTAGGAAAAACCTTTCAGCTTGGCTGTGTTTAGGTTCCATCAGGTCCATTATAGAATTTTTTGGGTTTTTTCAGCCTTTCTTAGAATCCATCTCATGTAAGTTTTTTTTTTTTTTTCAGAACAATGGACTTAAACCACCGTCATACTGCTATTTTCAACCACCTCTTACTCATGTTCTATTGAGCAGCAGTAGCCCTCACTTAGGAGGCTTTCAGACGGACTATTGAGCTCCAGGTTGCCAGCATGTTGGAAGCACTCTGAGTCTAAAATGCAGGAAAATAGATTTTAAGTCCAACAGTAGTGCTCTTGTTGTTTTTATTGGATATAAAGTGTAAATATAGCACAAGCTATTATGTTGCCAGCTGGATTGATTTAAGTAGGTGTTTACGTCAGATATTCTAGAGACTAAAACAGGTGAATCAATACTTAGATTTCTGTATAGAAGAACCTATACTTGTTGGCTTTCCTGTAAGGATCTGTAAAGAAAAAAAAATTGTATAATAAAGGAATACACAAAACATTTTTAAATATCCTAACTTTATTTTCTGGCTTGCCTGTTTAATCAGGAAAAAGATAACAATACTTAAAAACAAAATCACGGTTACCACAATTACCAGTATTCTTAATGTTTTGCAAGGTTGAACTGAGCAAAGGTAGGACTCTTTGGTGGCTTCTTTTTACTCAGCAGTTTGTTAAAAAAAAAGAGAAACATGAGTAACAAACATGCTCGATGAGGGCTGAATTGTTGGTTGAACTAGATCATTCAAAAACACATGATTGACCATAAACTCTATATGGGACATATATAGTTATTACATCTAAAAACATTTGAACTTTTTAACTTTTTTTCTAAATAAACATAATTTTTAGCTCGTCTAAAAAAAATGTAAAACGGCAAGTTTTACTGCAACTATTTTATTGTATAGTTGGTCTGATGTATGGATGAAACGGCACACTTGGCCTTAATTCACAGGATTCTAGGTAGGAAATGGGCAACTAGAGATGGAGGGAAGAGATCCTTAGGTCAAGAATTGAACCCTGGAAGGCGATGTTAAGGACTAATGGCCTCCTTATATGGGGTGCCTGCTGTTTCACCACCCGACTCACCGCCCCAATTAAAATATTTATAGTAGAAGTAGTGACATCTTGTACACTATTATGTCTGGGATGTTTGTGTATCTACTGGAGGGACACTCCATTTAACCAACAAAGTTCCTCCTCAGTATGCAAAATGTGTATTTGTAGCCAACCAATATCACAAACTAAACAGTCCTGAAGAATAATATAGATGGAACATTATTGAATATTGAATATTTTCACTTATTTGATGATGATGAACTTCTATGGTGGTTTAGTGCCCATCTCTTCACACTTTGAGATAGGCTATGAGGTGCACTATAAATAATATTTTGTCTTATTATTATTTAACTAATAATGATTCAGTATTACCCTCATCTCGTGGCTCTGAACCTCATCTTTCTTTTATGACCACTCATATACCACCTGTAGAGGATGCACATTTTCATCTCTTCAACATTTGTGCAGCAATCTTTGTAGATCATCCGCAACACACCCACTTATTTGGACTCTTTGAGGATCCGGCCGTTAATACCTATCGGTTGATATCTAGGTGTGATTACTACCCGTTTACCTTTGTACAGCTCTTAAATATTCATGAGGCCTTTCACCCTAAAGCTCTGCACACCAACTGTAATTTCCCATTCAATCCAATTGAAAATCATGTCGAACGAGGCCGTGCCTTTTGGAGCTCATTGAGAGTCAATAGGGATGAACACAACTGACGATTTTTTCTGCAAGGGGGCTTACACAGCAATTTACCAGCAATTCCATGGGTCCGACAGGAAGAGAGATGTGGTTATAAAGTAAAATACATCCTTCTTTGGGGAAAAATACAAAATAAAATCTCTTAATCTCAAGAGAAAAATAGTCAGGTTTACAGTCACACAGCAACAATTCAGGAGGAAAGATAAAGTAATGATCCTCTTTGAGCCTTGCAAAAAACAAAATAACGAAGGGCAGTGCAGGAATGTGCAGATTATCTCTCTCCCCTGTTTATAAGAAAAAAAATGTCAGCAATTTTTACAGATCTGTCTCTGGGAATCACTGTACAATTATGGCCTGTTTGTTTTTTTTTTCTTGTTATTTTTTAGCTTATTATTAATCTTAACCAGTCAAATGTGGAATTTTTTTTTTTCAATTTGTGTGTCTCTGATACAAAGATAAAAAAAAATCTGCACAGATCAAGAACTGCTCTCCCTGTGTAGTAGGAGCCTCTGATTATCCACTGCTGTCAGTGTGACACGGAAAAAAATTGGATCGTCCAACACAACCGGAGTGACCCAAGCTTAGAAATGTGCTCAGGGCCTTTGAAAAGCAAAGGCGCCCACAACATTATAGATCCCCCACCATACCTAACAATGCATTTTACACCAGAGCTCCTTTCAGCCTGTGTTGCCCTAAAAGTTGCATTCAGGTGAAGCTCTGAATCAATGACAAAGTTGTGGTGTTTGACTCATTAGCATTTAGCAAAAATGTACAGTTAGCTCTGATTCTAAGGCAGAAAAGCATTCCCCCCCCCCCCAAGATTCCTCTTAAACAATCAGTTGGTATGTAGTACCGTCTAATGACTGTTATGGAGACTCCATGACTCCTCTTTGGCATATTTTGCTCCATGTCATTTTAGGGGTGTTTACCTCTGTTATTGTTCTCCCTAATGTGCATGGTGTCAAGGTAAACATGGGTGACCAGTTGCTGAAGGAAATGAGCATCTGTATCACATCATTTCAATACCCAGGGAAGTTAGAAAGTCAGTGTTTGTTTTCTTACTGATCCTTTATTTTGTAGTTTTGTGTCCCCTTCTTGTCAAATCACTTCCCACTGACGCATTTCTCCAAAATAAATCACAGAAAACACATTCTCACAACTGTGACACAGCAGAATGTCAGCTTCATTGAATCTCTGTGGAAATACAATTTATATCATAAACAAACACGGATAAAAAAAAATCTGTTTTGGCTGGCTGGATTCTTTTTATTAAGGTTTATCCTTTTTTTTCTTCTGCTTTTCAGTGACCAATGGGAGCTATTTTCACATGGATGAAGAGGAAGATGAGGGAGATCTCTACAGACAAGATGCTGAGATCAGCAGCTCTAACCACCGCTCCTTTTTACAGGAAAGGTTTGCTTGAGCTTTTTATGACAGTTTTCATACAGAGATCTTAGAAATATCTGATAATTAAACTCATGTGATGAATATCATTTTTGTTAATTACTTTTTATCAGCCTTCTTTTATCAGCCCTGGCGAAAATTAGTTTGAAATGTCTTGATTCAACCTGGAGATTAAAGTGTTCCTACACCGGTTGGATGTAAGGTCACTGGGAATACACCAGTTATTTTACATATTTTGTTGTTTTGTTTGTAAGTAGTATAATTAAAGCATTAAATGATTAATAGTAGGACTGGGCGAGATAAAAAAAAATGCATATTGATCGATATCGATAATTATTGAAAAGATTTGAAACCATATTTTATATGCAGGTCTGCCTGGTCTTTTTATAATATTGCTAAATGATTTAATTTTCATAAAGAACACAAACACAGACTTCAAATTAAATCTTTATTTAACCAACTTTTTTAACCATAACAATTGTTTTAAAGAAAAATAACTTAAGAGACCTGAGTTATGTTATTAAATACTGACAAAGAATAAACTAAAGTGACCAGAAAAGTGACCAAAATAAATATAACAAATAAAGCTCGTACTCCTGCGGGTGTGAGCGGCTGAGATGATAAAAAAAAGTTGGTGGTGTTACCAGACTTCCTTTTCACTGGTTCTCTAACATTTTACAGATGACTGTGGTTTGTTTTTGGTCCGACTTGCCATGACCGAAATACTGCCAAACTGGCGAACTACAAAAACCCTTCTTTGGAACAATTTCCTCCGCCTCTCCTTGCTGCGACATCTTCATGGGCTCTGTGTTGAGGTTTGAGAGGGCGGCGCTTGGTGACGGCGTGCCTGGGTCCGCGATTGCGATTGGTTGGGAGGAAGTAGCAACTAGCATAAACCTACATGCTAGGCTACAATGAGAAGGAAGTAAAACTGCGTTTCTTTTTTATCGAACTTTTATCGACCCTCTTTTTTTCTATTGCACCACACGTCTATCGATCGATATATATCGTTATTGAATTATCGCCCAGCCCTAATTAATAGTAAATATTTTCTTTTACTTTAATCCCGCAAAACAATCAAGTGAAACAGAAAATATGCAGCTTCATTTATTATTCCATTTGAAAGCTATGATAATCTCTAGAAACGTGATCTGAGAACATAAAGATATTGGATAAAAACAATCAGGGTAGATAAATTATGTAGCTTCAAGGATTGAACCTTCAATGTAAAAAAAGAAAAAAGTTAAGGAGTTTAAGCATGTAAATAATCTGTCCTCTTTGATGCTATTAGCTTATTCAAATCTAAATTTATGACCACGCCGGATATAGAAACTCCACTAAATTTATAACCCATTTTAAATGCGATTATTTCTTGTGAAATTACTCTTCCAACAACCCAAGTATGTTCATAATATGGAAAATCCCATCATTTGAAAGAGGCACGTTTTGTTTTAACATGATTCTGTCCCAGCTTTAACATAGAGGCTGCTGAAGATAGGTACCAGTCGCCTGGAAGCTTTCCTCTCAAAATGACCGCTTCATTCTGATCTGCTCCACCTGCAGCTGTGCTAAGGTGGCACATGTCATTACTTGTCTAACAAACCTCTCATTCATCTTTTGCAGTGAAACCTCCAAGACTTCTCCTGTAGCCCAGCCCCAGTCTCCCACCCAGAACCAGAATCAGCTGAAGTTCCAGCACATCAAACCATCTAAAAGCATGGACCTGGGTACGACTCAAAACCAGCATCACATTGGTGGGGAGGATTTTTTTTCTTTGTTTATCTAACCTGCACGGTGGCTGCATGCATCTCCTCCTGGTTATGAAGCATGGCTGCTGCTCTGGCGGCACAAACTGCATGCAGACTGACATCATCGCAGGTTGACAATCTCTTATCGGATTTTATATGCTTTTTTATCCACTAACTAACATTGTTATCACTATCTCTGCCTGAAAGATAATAATGCTTTCAATGATTTGATAGTTGACAGGCTGTGGTTTGTTGTCATTCATTAAAGATTCATTCTCTGCCCCTGTTTAATTTCCACACCAAGCTAAGATTTGGTGTAAAATGTAAACAGAACCCAGGATGGCTCTTTTATTTCTCAACCAAATGTCAGAGAGGCGACTTTCAACCACTGTAATGATGCTTTCGCTGACATCTCCGTCACCTGTTGCTCCCTGATCGCTGATGTTCTCGAGCGGGTGCTGAGTGACATTTCAGTTATTGTTAAAAAGTCATCTCCAAAATGCAGCCGTGCGTATGTGCACACTTAATGTCTGTTCCTTTGCATACATCAGCGCAACACGACAGCGGTCGCAGCCGCACCACAAAAGTGTTTTGTTTCAAATGTCACGTTGCTCCGTCCTCCCCCTCGACTTCGCTCGGGTGCCAGATGTGAGCGCACATCGGAGTGTGGATTTGAACAAAGGAGAGGGAAAAACTTATGTGAACTGCACAAACAATCATTTCTACACTAATAACATGCTGATGATACGTCTGCAGAGCTTTGAGTCAACTCTTTTGTTGTTTTACACAATTAGATGCAGTTTTACTAGGACTTGGCTCCGGTCCCAGTTAGTTTTGGGGTTAATTTGTATTTACTGTCTAGTCTCAGCTATAAATGGAATCACATTAAGTAAAGAAGGAGATATTTTAGGGCTGTTTTAATTAAAATGTTTTGGTAATCTGAATAATCTCTTCCATTCTGCTACACTGTTCAGTTTATCAACAGTTTATCAACTGTAAATGATTGGGAGTGTCTCAATTAAGGCAGCGGTTAGCAGAGTAGCTGCTAATACCTGTTGTTGCTCTTTGGTTTCATGTCAGCAAACGGCTTTCTCATAAAATTGTAAAATTCAATAGGAATGTGAAAAAGCCAAAGAGGATTACAGACAGTTTTCTCTTGGTGTTTGGAGCTTCTAAAGTCATGGTGCACTGCTTTACATTAACTCTAATATTCAGCTTGTTTTTATCACTTTAGAACCACAAATGCAGTGACTGTCAGCCAGATTTCATGTGTTAGACAAACAAAAAGTTAGGGATTTTTTTATGAATCAGAAGGAAACAGAATCAGAAATACTTTAATAATCCCAGAGGGAAATTAACGTATATATGGTTAAAGTCCACATTGTGTGACCACTTCTGCTATAACCTTGTGCTGCTGTAACGCCACAATTTCCCCAATGTGGGACAATAAGATCTGTAGATGTGTCAACACACGGTCTAAATAAAATTAATGCAGCCAATAGCTTTTAGAAGCGGTATAATTAATAAATATTGCATCATGTTATAGATGTATTTGTTTATCCTCATTTTAATGTCTAACTATGTGTAAGAAAATGTTACCAGACCTTTTATTTCAGCAGAAGTAGCTTTACTATTAAATACCACCATCCATTGCAATTATTTCGAATAGATTTATTTTTCGCATAGTATGCTAAACGTACAGTCATTCCTTAGAGACTCAGTGTCAGCAGATTCTTATCAAATGCCTCATTTTAAATCATGAGGGGCTAAAAGCTTTTTATTTGGACATTTATAATTAATGTAATAAAAAATGAGATGACCTAAGGCTGTAAATTCTAAATGTGATCTTTAATAAATCTGTGGCAAACAAATTGCCATGTTTAGTACAAATGTTTAAATTAAATCTGTAAATATTTATGGAGCAGTAATAACATCATATTGAGAAATCCCTTCAATGTTACCAGGCAGAATTACTAGTCCTTTTGCCTTCAGTGTGCAGCGGAGAGGAAGTGTTCAGGCATCCCTGGGTTCATTATTTCCCCTCAGAAAATGCTTTAAAGTTGCCTGAAATCCGACCTAATCAGTCTCAGGTTTGTCTGCAACATTCCTGGTGGATTTGTAAAGTTGGGACGAACATATTGCTTAAGAATTACCAACTATATCAGGATACTGAAGGTAAAAAACAAAAAAAGATGCAAAGTAAGAGTTTAAATAAAAATAGGGGAAGAACTTTTTTGCACAGTATAGAAATAGGGTGTAGATTTATGCAAGAAATCCAAGTAAGTATTATTCATAAAAAAATGCTCCTGACTTTTTATATAAACAGTTAACCTTAGCTTCAGTCAGAATATATCTCATTGTATGCATAAGTGCCTTTTCATAAGCATTATGCAAATTAGATCAGTTTTGGCTCATTAGCACTTCAGTCTTGAAATTAAAATGTTGACTATCGGATGTGTGTGAAATATCTGCTACACAGACGCACACAGATGCCGTATAATTAAATAATATTTCTCACTTGATGTACGAGTTCAATGCTATAAAGAGCCTAAAAGTTGCTTTCATGCAGAATTATTTTAAACTTAATTCATTAGCAGCGAGCTTAACTCGGCGTACTTTAATTAAAGCAATCATTCAAACTTAGCCTCTTTGGCTTCGGCTGTTAGGGAAAATAAAGAAAAGAAAACCTGGCTGAGTTTAACATCAGTATTCCTTCACTGATTGGGATTACTTTCTACATTATCCAGTTTAGAAAAGCCTCTCCAACAAGAGGAGTAGGTGTGTAAAGACTTAATATGACTCTGTGTTGATCCTCTTTCGATTTGTTTTTTTCCACTAAAATGACAGTGAATGATGGAAACAAGAAGCAGAGTTTAGTTTCTGACCCAGTCCACTGCTGCTCTGGCTTTCCCACTCAGAACCTGTAGATATATAATCATGTAGATCTGGCATCTGCCCACAGCCTCACCTGTGAACCTTCTCCTCCTCGCATTTTTCATGGCCAGCTCCTATCGCGGCTAACAAAGCTGTACAAATTCAAACAAAGAGAAATATCACAAACCAGTGAAGGAGAAAAAAAAAAACAAGTGGCATGATTTATAAAAAATATGTACCAGTATTTTCTTTTTTTGTTTTATTATTTAAAGAGAAGAAGGTTTCAAAAATATAGTCAGCTGATAACCAATTGTTAGTCATAGCCCAAACAGGATCCCCGTGCTTGGTAGAACTTTACAATCCATTTCAAATATATGGTTCCTTAAAAATATCGTTATCTCCTATATTCATATTCAAAGTGCCATTTTTTACTGCATAGGCTATTGATACATATAATCAAAGTAGTATAACCCTGCATTTTACATGCTTATCACAGATTTAGGCTAGTTAAACTGAGCCTCACAGCATGAGATGCTCTCACTCCACACAAAGACATTTGTGAAACTGCTAAAAGTCAAAGGGCATACAATGGGTGTAAAATGTACAGCTTTTACTTTTTGAATAGCTTCTCTTCATTATGTCCAAGAAATAATTTTCCTAATTTGAGCAAACCTCGTGTCAAAGCTCTTCTTTGTATCTTATTATATCAGTTGTAAATATTCTGTCTAAATTAATCTTAAAGTCTTAGGAAAGTCATATTTAAATGTAAAATCATTCTGGCTTAAACATATATATAAATGTACTCTTCATCAGTCTATATTGTCCCAAAATTCAGAAAATTTCAATTTAAAAAACAAAAACCTTTCTTAAAATCTGTTTTTTTTTTTTCTCGTTGCTTTATGCAGGTTAGTTATAGGTCAGCTTGTGCACCTAAATTCGGCCAATCATAAATCAACAGTCATCTGTCAATCAAATCTTTTTCGGTCATAGCATCTTGGTTCATATGTCGCAGCTAATATACGCAACTGTTGAAATAAGAATCATTTACTTAATCCATTGAGTTACGTCCCAGTGTTCACGGGGATGGACGTCTGTGTCTTTTCTGTTAGCATAAAGCTAACAGAACTGGCAGCTTTGCGAGGCAAGGGCTCGCAACGCTGCTTAAAAATGTACGGCTGTAAGCCCTCTACACCAAATGAAGCTTCTGCCGCCGTGGCGTCCTCTTCCACAACAACTTTTCCCCGCTTTTCTCCTCTAAATAAAAAATGTATGACGGAAGAGACTTATCCACAAAACTCTCCTCCTCATTCAAGTTTCCGCTGTCCATAGCGTTCCTTGACAGTGTCGTTTCTAAGTCACCAATTTAGTGCTGGGAAATTCCATTGGGACCAAGTAGCACTGAGTTGCTAACTGGTTAGCAAGATGCTTCTGAGACACCGGCCACAACCAAACTTTCTTGCAAACCTTCCGCCACAACAATCCCGCCCCCTTGATAAACGACCAATCACATTCACTTTATTCACTCTTGTAAAGTCGTGCACCACTCAGGAGAATTCGCAAATGAAACGGATGGAACTGCCGTGTCCCTTCGACTTTAAACAAAAATTGTTTTCTCCCAACTCAAAAAGAAAAGGCTTTAAAACTTTCAATTCTATCATTGATGTCTTTAATTATTCTTAAAGCTATTGGACAAACATATAACATGTATTCTCCTTGGGCACTACACGGAACTACACAGCGTTATCGCAGATCTTTCCTCCCGGCAGCTGTTGGATATTATAACCATCATTAATCTGAATAATTTAATTAAGTTATTTACATCCCTGATGTCAATGGCAGTGTTTTAATGTATATAGTGTTCTCCTGCTTTTATGCATGATTTTAAAAAGTACATGCTGTACGTTAAACTTCATTGTTCAGTTTGATCAGACTATGAAACTTTGGCTGTATTTTTTTACCTTTGTGAATTTAATTCCTAATCGAAATAAAAGTGTGTAACTTACTACATTGAAAAACAGTAATATATAACACAAAATGCCCTGTCTGCACTCTGAGTCAGAGTATTTACCCAGGATTGTCTAAATTAGAAAGACAATTGTTTTTTAGGTTTGTATTGATTCCCCTTTTTCTAGCTTGAAACACCTAATGATAACATAAATAACAAACACCTTTTTCTGATTTGCTTTTTATTTATTTTAGTTTGATTCTCTCTTAGTACAAAAATATGTAAAACCAAGTCAGCTCATTGTTTTGAGACTCGGAAAGGAAAGAGAAAGGAGCAACAGTATGATGGAGTCAGAGAGGAATTGACTTTTGGAATAATGATCAAAGCAGTGACTGTGGGAGGAAAGCAGAGCTGCATGGAGGGTAACCAAAGAAAAATGAAAACAATGAAAAAGATACCAGAGGTTAAAGGTGAAAAAGGTCAGAGGGATACATGCAGGGCAATGCCTTAAAGTGAGCAAGAGGAGGGAGGGTGAATGAAAAATGAAGCAGGGGCCAAAGGAATGAAGGAAAAGTGCTTCTGTAGCACTGAAGCCGTCTTAACATCACAGAGGAGAAAGGCATCTAGTAAAATGAGACATGAAGAATAATTATTGGGTAGAGAATGGTGAACCAAGGACATGGAGCGGATATGAAACATGAGAAAACATAAGCAACAAACTGATACTAACATAGCAATATAACATATTTAATTTTATTAACTTCAGTTTTTTGTGTTTTATTTTCAGTGGCAGATGAGAGCAACGTCGGATCTCTGGATGGCCGGACTTCTGGTGAGGCTTGATCATTTTAAGACAGAAAAAAAAGTTTTTTTTTTAATAATGTACTTGCATGGTTTTGCATAGTAATTAAAGTGAAGGAGTGTTAAACATACAACGACAGATAAAGCTGCAGGGCTATGAAGGATTTATGGATGAAAGGAATCCTTATATCCAATCTTTAAAGCACTTTATAGCAGTTTCTGACACCTGGATCTCTCTTCTACGGAAGAGGATTAGGGCCACTGGAAAAAAAAAAAGTTAACTGATTTTTAAATTTTATTTCACTTTAGTATGGGAAAAATGTCAGAATTCTGACTTTAATCTCAGAATTCTGACTTTAATCTCGGAATTCTGACTTTTTTTATTGTCAGAATTCAGTCAGAATTCTGAGATTGGAATGCAAAACTGTGCTTTATGATCATTGAAAGATTAATTTGGTGCCACTAAAACATTTTATTATGTTCTTTCTCTCATAAAACATTAGGTTTAATGAGAGAAAGAAGCTAGCAGGTATGCTAGTTAAATACAGTTGTTTGGTTTTCAATCAAAAAGAGGGACCAGCATTTATTCAACAAAGGTCCTGTACGCAAGACGGCAGTTTTGGTGTAAACAGGGAAGTGTTGTTGCACACCCCATTGGTGCACATATGCTTAGAAAAAACAGCATAATTTAACAAGAATTCTGAGTGCCATGATTCAAAGAACATCCCAGAATCTGCCTGTTTGCAGAAGCCATGGCTCAGTTTGCACAATGGGCAAAAAATGAATGCGAATGCTCACACAGCAACAGATGCCAACCAGATTAAACCCCACAGCAATTATTTTGTTATTCACTCACAGGAAGCAACAGTTGAACTCTGTGCAGCGTCCTTTCCCTTGTCATTTTGAAAATTTGTTTACCCTTTTAAGCTGAGGGGATTTGTACCCACACACGTGTTGATGAGGTTTGAAAAACACACCGCCTTCTAGTGGCATGGCAGTGAAATTACAGTTACTAGGGCTTCTTCGTTTTTGACATGAGATTCTATGCAAATGTGTGGAAAAAAAACAGAAATACAATCCAGTTTTTAATTTATCATTGTTGCCTCCACAGTGCATAAGAGTTCTGAAAGTTAGATTTTTTTTTCTGTAATTGTGGGCTAACCCATAATCAATAGGAATAACGTGAGAGAACTGCTGCTGCCCGTCTGTCAGGGTTGATTTGTAAGATCATTATCAAAGAGATAGAAGATATCCTGGGCAGATAATACTTGTGTCAACATTGAATATCCCTGTTTTTTTTTGTCTCTGTTAAGTTGAATGTCAAAATGAATGAGGATGCAATTTAAAAAAGACTGAAAAATATGTTTTGTTTGGAAGCTAAACAGCTCATCAACTCACACCAGCAGTCAACCTCAGTGGTTTTCAATGAGCTGAGCTTGTTCTGGAGCATTAAGATTTAGTTTCCTGGCACTCATTTCGTCAAATCAAGCATACAGCATCTCTCGGCCAAAACCTTCCAACAGATGAAGCTCGACTGAAATCGGCTAATGCTTATAATGAAGCAAAGCGTGCAGAAATTGTTCCACAGCGATGTCAGAGATCGATTGTCTGCAGTATGAATATACAACTCATTTTCTCTTTATAGGCTCTACTCAGAGTATACTTGCTATTTTCTTTTTCATTTGGACTCCTCTGTCCAGTTTTAATTCTTTGCTTCGGTGGACAAAGTGACTTAGATGAAGAGAGGCACAAACTGTTATACATATCAAAATTATATTATTGTTCTGCAAAGAAAGAAGTATTGAAGTTTGTGAAAAGCATACATTTTGAAGTATTAAAATAGAAAAATGATGGAAGGACACATTGATCTTAAAGCATAGATCAGGTGCTCTAATGTACATACATACATTATTTGAAAGTCTGATCGCAAACTTTGCTCTTTGCCTTGAAGTTCCTTCCATTTTATCTGTAGCTCCTTGAATATAAGAGCTCTCTCCCTTGCTCTCAATATGAGTCCTCTTTGCTGCATGCCTCCTTTATTCCCCTGTCAATCAGCCTGTTTCCCACATTCAGCTGCGCCTCAGTTTTAGGCATGGTGGTAGAGACTTTTATTATGGTCGTACTTTCTCTGTGAGGTTGCAAGCATGGTAATATAAGGAGCACAAAAGGAGAAAATGTAAAAAAAGAAACAAAAAAGAAAGAAACCCAAGCTGAGTTTATTTTATTACAGCAAAAATCCATAAAACATACAGTAAGACGTTTTCTTCTCATAAAACCTCCTTTTTCATATTTCAGTCACTTTCCTGGCTTCTGAGCTTGCAGGGCTTAATGTTTCCTGCTTAATACGAATAGCCAAAGGAACATCTTACACAACTAGGAAACACAGGAAATGCTAAGATGTGCAGCATTAGCCGTGGATAATAATTAAAAAATATCTGTTTGACTTGGGTTTTATCATCCGTGTTATATGATGTTAACAGGTTTAAAATGAAACTTCTATCTATTAATGACATGTTTTATATTCTGATACCTGGAGAATTACATTTGCTTCCTTCTGACAGCTTGTAATGAGGGTAAACTGTGACTAAATAATGGAGCATGACCACATTTATTATTTCTATGTCCTGAGGCAACAAGTGATTTCTTCATGTAGGTCTGCTTTATTTTACTCCAGCCTGTGTTCCGAAATGTATCCGCATTCATCAGCCCACAGTTTCTAGCATTTCTGCTTTCCTACAGAGTTCCTGCAGCATCTTAAATAACATAGATTTTTCATTTTGTTTTTGTATATCCACAATCTGTGTAATGATGAAAAAGATACTATATGTAACATTGACTTTTTAAGGCCTTTGGCTAAACATAAATAAAGGAGAAAGGAGAAGATGCATTCAAATGCGGTGAAAAACACAATAGCCCCAGAATATGGTGCCCTGATCTAACACTGAGTCACATAAAGCTCTGAAATCTGACTTTTAAAGAATATAATAAAGGTGAGGTATTTTTCAGACTGATTAAACGTAACTGATTTATGGAACTGTGACTCTAACTTCTATGATTCATTATTGTTGATTCTTATCATTAATTTTGCTATTTCAAGGGGTCCTTTTCGAGAAGAAGGTTTACTGAAACCTCCCAAGTTTTCTAAACCTGAAACTCTGAGTTTTCCATTTCATAAAGACAGTTTCCTCAACTTCTGTTTCTGTTGCAGTAGTAACTTTCTCCCCAGTTCAAAATAAAAAATCAAACATTGTGGGTCCTTTAGACGGGGATCTTATTAAAGAATGATCGGCATTAATTCACAGAGAATTAAATATTTATAGGGAGAGGATTCTTCAACTCCGTTGACACGATATAAGATTTATTTGTTTTTGGTTAATTTATTATGAGCGACATTTTCTTTTTTTTTCAGTACAAGAAGAACTACTGCAATTATTTTCAGATTACGCAAATTAATAAATTCTTTTGGAAAACAGAATTTGTGTTAGGTTTAGGACTAGGATTCATTCAGTAATAACAACCTACTGATAGGTAGAAGGCACAATCTGAAGACATTCTCTGGGACTGATAACCGCTAATTACAGCCATTTATTGGGATGATAACATACAAAGCGGCTGCAAACAGCCACTAAGTATTTGCTGCGTAATGGAGGACAGCTTCTATTTACCTCTACTCCAGCTGCAACTGGTGGAGCAGCAGGCCTTCGGCTGCAGGGTGAACTCCTGCATCCAAGGCCACTAGGTGCGTTTCCATCAGCTTATTCTAACACACATTTTGAAGTATCACATGATGGAAACGGCTACATTTGAATAAACTCCCTTAACCTAACTCAGCAAAAAAATTTTTATACTCGCTTGAGGTGTTTTTTGGTCTTAATGAAAAAAAAGTATTGATTCATTAGCCCTATGTAGTGGTGCGTTCAGGAGTGAAGCAAAGCATTTCTAGCAATGAGGATGGAGTGATTGTGATTATTTTTATATAATTATGGAAACAAAGCGAATTTTGCTGAAGTTGAAAAACCAAACTTTTCTGTATATTTTTGCTGCAACAACCAGGCAGTAACTTTATGTGATTTTGAAGTACAGTAGTAGCCATTCAAAATTTCCCCACTTTCCTTGATGGGCCCTTGGCTGATTGCCTTTAATTCCTTTTTAAACATCAATCTTTGTACTAAAATTTTGGTTCTATCATGATTTGTGGACATTAAGATCTAAAGAGAAGCGTTGTCTCCTAGTCCGACCCTGTAATTCCGTGAAAGGGTGGAGTCAGAGTAAAAAAATATTCAAGAGGGGTTCACTCAAGTGGCTGGATGTTGGAGGGGATTTTGCTGGGAGTTGGAGGGAAGTGGGCTGCCATTCAGCTGCCATTCGGTTGGGAAGGGCCAATTTGAATGGCGGCTACTGTCTGGTGAAAGACAGCAACAAGGCTTTCAAGCTATAAAGATAGAAATGCTAAGGTTAACATCTGATGAAGTAAGCGTTGCTCTTTGGACGTTTGTTTGTGGCTTTTAAAAAGTTTTATTTTAGCCTTTAGAAAGACTGTATATCCCGATTTGCCACTGCTTCTGTCTGAGCATCAGGGCGCTCTCACCACTGTTTACAGGGCGATCCCCCCTAGAAGTGCGATAACAGTTTAGGGTCCTGGTCAGATGGAAGTACCGCTGGAAGTGACTGATCCAAAGTTAGCTCCAAACTGCGAGCCTTTGTGGAGGGTGTGGTTCAGTTTTCAATAATGAATAAAGCACTCTGAGCTGCTCCAATTGCTGAGTTGAAACTGGTGAACAGCAAATAGACGCTGCTGCTGTTTTATATTTTTTACGGTGAAGCAGGTTGAGTGTTGTTCGTAAATTTCTGGTGAAATGTCAAGTGATCTATGAGATATAAAGTTTAGAAATATACCTTCTAATCTTATCAGTTAGTCTCTCTATCATGAGGTTTAAAGGGTTTTTACCATGCCCATCACAACTAGCTCATTGAAATTCGAGAAAATCTGTTTTAGACCATCAACTGGGACTGAAGCTGTTATAAGTTTGT